CCCGCCCCTGCGGCATCTGCTGGCCGCGGCCCGCAGGGACCCCAGCCGCCCGTGGCACGGGCTTCTGCCATCTGGGAGCCGCCACTTTGTCTCGTTCTTTGATGGCGGCGTTCCCGGGCCTGCCCCTCCGCGGGTCCCGGGTCACCCCTTTCTCTGTCGAGCCCCCTGGGGAGCGCCGCGGGCGGGGACCGGGTGGTCGCCTTGTGGCGGCTCTTTCAGGGACACTCCAGGATGAAAAGTTGAGTCCCGCCCCGGTCTGATGGTCCCCCTCTGTCCTGTGGACAGGGATCTGATGCTCTGCTGTCTGCGTCCCTCGGGGCACACGGGCCGGGGGGGCGGTTCACGACCCTCATCCCACTCCCCATCCCCCAGGTCCCGTTAGACCGTTAGACCGTCATCTGCTGACCGAGGAAACTTCCTGAATGCAGTACAGTCTTTTGGGGACACATGCCTGAGTTTTTGGGAAACTCAGAACTTGGCTTCCTTGGTGACCAGAGTCCCCTTCTATTCTGGATTTAACTATGGGGAGGGAGCCCTGAATTTAAGTTTCCCTGCTTGTCCCTGCTGCTCCACGGGACAGATGTCTCTCATGTAGCCCACTCTGTGTCCGTGAAAGAAACTGGCTTCTGGAGGTACAGCGCTGGTGGGAGGCTCAGGAGAAGGCGCTGGGCCTGGAGCTCCCCTCCTCGGACTTGAGCTTCAGGTGTTTCCCACCGTAAGGTGCTCTGTCACACAGGGTGTGCGTAATCCGGAAGGAAACAGTTTGCAGGAAAAGTTGGCCTTCTCCCTTGTTGGCTGACTCTTCCTTCTCCATCACAGATTCCATGGCAAAGGCTATCGGGAAGGCTATGAGGAAGGCAGCACTTTGGGCAGAATTGAAGGAAGGCAGTATGGCACCGTCCATGGGGCCAGAGTGGGATCGGAGGTAAGTGGGAACTCCCATTTAGAAATGAGACCCAGGCACAGCGCCTCCCACCTGTATTCTTAGCTACTCAAGCTGAGATCTGAGGACCACAGTTTGAAGATAGCCCAGGCAGGGAAGTCTGTGAGACTATCTCCAGTGAACCAGCAAAAAGCTATAGCTCAAGTGGTAGGGTTATAATTTTTTTTTATTGTGAAAATACGGTACAGAGGGGTTACAATCACATGAGCAAGGTAATGAGTACATTTCTTGTGATTTCTTTTGGGGGGGGTCAGTCATGGGGCCTGAACTCTGGGCCTGGGCGCTGTCCCTCAGCTTTTCAGCTCAAGGATAGCACTCTACCACTTGAGCCACAGCACCACTTCTGGCTTTTTTTTTTTCTTTTTGCTTATGTGGTGCTGAGGAATCGAACCCAGGGTCTCATGCATGCAAGGCAAGCGCTCTACCATTGAGCCACCTTCCCAGCCCCAAAGAGTACATTTCTTATCAAGCATTGTTACCTCTTCCTTTGTTTCCCCTTCCCATCCCTTCCCATCCCCCCAAGTTGTAAAGGTCGTTTTTCTTTTTTTTCTATTTTTTAAAATTTTTATTTATTTTTTATTGTGAAAATACTGTACGGAGGGGTTACAATTAGATGGGCAAGATAATGAGTACGTTTCTTATCAAGCATTGTAGCCTCCTCTTTTGTTTCCCCTTCCCATTCCTTCCCAGCATC